GACCCCCGACAGATGTGAAACATCAAAGAATACGTTATTGAACTCGGTTGTATTATTTATTCATATTAATTTTCTATAAGACGTTGAGCTCATCACCCCTATGCAGTACATGATTTTTTAATTTTTCACTTGAGAGTAAAAAATCGGGCACAGATATAAAAAATATAAGGTAGAAATGTGAGTATGTAAGAAGAAGAGTGTATAAATAAAAATAAGCAGCATAAATTTAAAAAATGGTTTTTGTTTATTTTTACTAATACATGGAAAAGTGTAGCAGTATAAAAATATACAGACTATTTATAAAAATACTTATATTTTCTACCGTAATAAACATTAAGTTTGATCATTCGTAGCATCGGTGACGTCAGTAATGGTAACATTCGATGATGTTTGCGATGGAATAACAGTAATAATAGGTCGATGATAACTAAAATATGTAACAAAAATGCTTGCATGCGGCGACGCGGCTCTGGCGTGGTGCGCTAAGTAGCTAGGAGTGGGGAGAGAGCCCGCTTGGGTCTGGCGCTGCTGCGTGGCGACGCGGTTCTTGCGTGGCGACGCGGCTCATGCGTGGCGACGCAGCTCTGGTGGGGCGATGCTAGCTAGGAGTGGGGGGAGAGCCCGCTTACGAGCCTGGCGACGGCTCGCGTGGCGACGCGTCGCCACGCAAGGCTCGCTTTTACCCCCCAAGCGCCGCAATAGATGTTTCACATCAAAATTTTTCATACTTACTCATTAAAGCACATGTACTTCTTATGGAAAAAAATTTTTTTCTGCATAAAGCAGTGAAAAAATTACTGTTCGCTCGAAACTTGTTAACAACACTAAAAATACTCAACTTAGTTATAAAGAGATCCTTTAATGCCTAAAAAAAATCTATGCAGCGTCATGGCCCATACAAGGCTATGTTATTCTTATGAGTAAGTACCGCTAACCGCCGTTTTTACCCATGCAAGTGGCTCTGTTTTAGATTGCTGCATGGAGCGAATATCAGGCCTGCATAGGTATGAAGCTGAAACTAGCCCCACGCCGGAGCAGCCTCACCAGGGACGAATCAGACCTGAGGGGCCCCGGGGCTAAAAAAATTTTTTCTTTGTCCTGATCCATTCGAAAAACGCTACATATAGTTCCGATTCTCCCATTCGCAATCCCTGCAACTTTTTAAAGCCGTAAAAAGTCGTCAGGCTGGGAAAACGAAGAGTTTTCCGTAGATACGTACATACGCGTATACGAAAAAAAACAAAATAAAAATTTATAACTTATTTTTCGGCTCTTGTGCCACCTTGGAAATTGATAGAATATGTTTCTATCACTTCTATACACGATACCTACAAGTTTTCCAAGCCGTGAAAAGCCGTCAGGCTTGGAAAATGATGAGTTTTCCGCCGATACGCAAATACGCGTATACAAAAAAATCAGAAAAAAATTTATAACTTTTTTTTGGGCTCTTGTGCCACCTTGGAAATAAATAGAATTCATTTCTATCACTACTATATACGGTCCCAATAAGTTTGTCAAGCCTTGTAAGGCCGCCAGGCTTGGAAAATGATGAGTTTTCCGCCGATACGCAAATACGCGTATACAAAAAAATCAGGAAGAAATTTATAACTTTTTTTTGGGCTCTTGTGCCACCTTGAAAATTGATAGAATATGTTTCTATCACTTCTATACACGATACCTTCAAGTTTTCCAAGCCGTGAAAGGCCGCCAGGCTTGGTAAACAGTGAGTTTTCCGCCGATGGGCAAATAGGTGTATACGAAAAAATCGGAAAAAAATTTATAACTTATTTTTAGGCTCTTGTGCCACCTTGGAAATTGATAGAATATGTTTCTATCCCTTCTATATACGATACCTACAAGTTTTCCAAGCCGTAAAAGGCCGCCAGGCTTGGAAAATGATGAGTTTTCCGCCGATACGCAAATACGGGCATACACAAAAATCAGAAAAAAATTTACAACTTTTTTTTGGTTTCTTGTGCCACCTTGGAAATAGATAGAATATGTTTCTATCACTTCTATACACGATCCTAATTAGTTTTTTAAGCCGTGAAAGGCCGCCAGGCTTGGAAAATGATGAGTTTTCCGCCGATACGCAAATACGCGTATACAAAAAAATCAGAAAAAAATTTATAACTTTTTTTTGGGCTCTTGTACCATCTTGGAAATTGATATAATACGTTTCTATCACTACTATACACGATCCCTATAAGTTTGCGTGTGTGCGTGCGTGATCGTTTAACAAGTGGTGACTTGCTTTCGTGTACTCTAGTGGCGTGCTTTCAGCGCGGTGTTTGGCATTTGCGCAGTTGGTTAGTTGTAAGTAGAACGCATGTGCTTGAAGCAACTTGGTTCTTTGTGCATTTCTTATCTGTTTCTTAACTGAAAATTGTCAGACAGAAAGGGGTGTGCAGATATACTGAGTGTTTGTAAGCGTTGTGCCTTGTAATTTTAACTAAACGACACCAGCGAAACTTTCGATTAATAACTGCGCGAAGAGGCAGCGCTTAGGAATTAAATATAAAAAAATTGCTTCCAAGTTTATAAACTTGCTGCAACAAGTTGATTTACTTAACTACTCA